CACGTCTGTAAGGAGACCATATCTCGCGACCAAAGATCTTCTTGGTCTGTAGTGACAACCGAAAAAAAAAATTATATACATATATATGTATATATATATATATATATATATATATATATATATATATATATATATATATATATATATATATATATATAAATCTGTTATTCAAATGATATATGATTTCCAGGCCCCTACAAATTTAAAAATAAGCAATGAAAACCCGCATCATTTTGTTCTCTATCGTAGTCAATTTCTGATTGATGGCTGAAGGCCAGGTTTAATGGTAATTATGATTTCTTGAGAAACAAAGTAGTTTTTTTTGTTTTGTTTTTAATAATCTTGAGTTATACAACAACAATAATCCCTTGGTGGTGACGAGCTATGATTTCCAGTATTTTCCAAACTATAACTAAATCATTTCTTTTATTCCATACATAATGTGTATGACTCAACACTGCAGATAATATCACATAACACTACCAACCAAAAAAAAATTAATTAAGTAAAAAAATTTTAGCCTTTTTTTGGCTTCTATATTTGAATCAAAATTCTATTTTGTAAAATATGTTTCGATAAAATCTAAAAATATAACTTTAACTTCGAATATAACTAGCTTAAAACTATACTTCTCTTGAAAAATTACAGGTACTCGTATTAAAGAATAAAATGTTTTAAAGCATTATATAAGTTTAAAAATGAAATTCTCTACAAAATAAAACAAAAGTCATTTAACTCGGATCAATATTAGCAAAGGCACAGCTTATGTTACTTTGGATCCATGTTATATAAAAACAATGTAATTGTGGATTGATGGTTAACTGTAGTGATTAATTGAAGAGAAGAACTGTTGTGGTGATAAATAAAAAAAAAGTAAAAATAAATAAGTATATTTATTTTTTATTTTTGCCAGCGTTTCGGCCCAAAGTTCAGGCCTTCATCAGAGCTGGTCAAACAAGAGTTGTCTTGTTAAGTTGTTAAAGTTGTCTTGCGGAAACCTCTCGTTTGACCAGTCCTGATGAAGTCCTGAACTTTGGGCCGAAACGTCGACAAAAATAAATATACTTATTTATTTTTCCTTTTTTTTACTGATCACCCCAACCATACTTCTCTTCAATTATATAAAAATCGTTTTTTTGGATTGATTAATTGCCAGAAATAAAATATTTGAATGTGATATCACATTGACAAGCAGTGTTAAAACAAATATTCGTTTATAATTATAAACATTATCTATGTTCAAATAATCCACCAATAAATGACTAAAAAATATATATTAAACATTTTTTTGAAAGCTAAATTCACATTTTCCCTTTTGAATTTTCTCTAACAGTTAGCTGTTCTTATCTCGATTGACAATAATTAATAATATTCAATCATGTCCAAAAAATATGAGATGTCCTTGCGAAACCAATATGAAATAGTTGTTTTATCATTTATCATTATCTGTTCAAAATGCAATCCACTTTTATTTATATAAATAGAAATAAATTGTTAATTGTACAAAACCAATATCGAAACAGTTCAAAATTTGGTCGAATCCAACAGGAACGACAACACAAACAGAAACAGTGATTCATTACCGTCATGTCTCAAACACTTCTGAAGAGTTAAAGGATATCACGCGGTTTTATTTCAAGACAATGGGAATTTTCGAAACATCCTCGTCTTGAATCTCAGGTGTCATAATAACAGACCAAATCAAGTGCTGCTTTGCATGACCTAGCCATCGACCCTTGAGGTGTTTGAACAGCACGTCGGAGGGAACTGGGTCTAATGTCGGGGTTTTGGTAACATTGTGTCGACACGATAGCGTGAGAAAACGCGATTGTGAACGCTTGTTCTTTATGGCGGATCGGCTGACACGGTACCTCAATTTAAAATATGCATTCAGGAAAAAGTATATGTCATACGTTTCAAGTATAATTTTATGTTATATTTTAGACAAGTGATCGATAGTTTTCGAAGATTAGACGTTGTCTTTTCCACCAGATGATTTAAAACCCGAGAAAATAAAGGCGGAAAATCGTAATGAAATATTGATTTAATCAAATGGAAATTATGCTGTTAGAGGGCTCATTGTCAGTTGGAAACTAGAGCAAGTGAAAGGGGTCTATTGTTAGCTGTAATCCTGGCTACAGGACTGGCATTTCCTTTGCAAATTTGACAAAAAACAATACAAATTATTACACAATAGTTAATTAGTTCATGATATATCCAACCACTTATATGAAATATGTGCTACGTGTTTCATCAAACAACTTTTTCTGACAGCCTCGGGAAAACGTGTTATATGATAATGTTGGCAAGACAGTTTTTTTTTTTTTTTGTTGACCTACATAGACAATTAAATTATTCTTCAAATAACCATATCGAGTGCAACCAATAAAGCAATAATTCTTCGAATTATCAAAAAGCAAAATAAAGGAAATCGCTTCTAAAAATTCAAAACGACATATCTCTGAAACGAATTGTATTAGTTTCGATAATTTGTTTTTTAGGGAATTCCATTAATTTTCAATTAAGCAAATATGTGAATTTCAGTGTTGCCCAAAATAGGTCTTTGACCAAGACCAAGACTGGTTCAAAAAAATTGCTTTTGTGAATAAAAATTAAGGCAAAATACTTACTAATACTTAACAATTTTAGTTACTATATGTAAAGAATCGGTGAAACCTATATACTTTTGCTTATAACTCTTCCAATTTTTCGTTCAGGCTTGTTAAGGTTTCACCTATCTGAAAAATTACTGTAATATCTCTATAGTACTAGGCCAATGGGTAACTGCAAGATTGTTGCGAGACTCTAGCACAAGACTAAGACCAAGAACAAGACTGAGTGCGCGACACCAAGACTCGTCTTGGTTGTTGGTGCCTTAACAAGCCTGTTCCATATCTGCCTGTCTTGAGCAATTTCTATCCATTTATATGGCCGCTGCTTTATTGCATCTTTGTTGATTCTATCTATCCATTTGCATTTGGCTTTCCACGTGGTCTTTTGCCTTCTTTTGAGGTATTCATTGTTATGTAGGATTGCTACGGGCTACATGCCAAGCCATTATTAACCTCCGTGCCTTCATATCATGGGATATTGATTGACTAGTTTCTGTAAGCAGTTCTTTATTGGTCTTTCTTCTCCATGTGATCCCAGATCGCTCCTGTTATCATGCGGAGGATTTTCCTCTCAAATCTTTCAAAACTTTTTTCTAGGGTGCTGATTAGTGTCCAGGTCTCACATTCATATATTAGAACTGCCTTTATCAAAGCATTGTAACCCTTAATTTGAGATTTCTTGAGATTTTTCGGGATTTCAATACCTTTGAGATTGAGAAGAAATCTCTGTTTGCGCAAGTTATACGCTGGTATTTTTCTGCCCGGTGTTCATTCATTGAGATTATTGTGAAGCCGAGGTATTTGCATTTTTCTACTCTCGGTAATGATTTTCCTTCTACGCATATAATGTTATTGGGATGGAATTTTCGGCTTAATATCATGTATTTTGTTTTGCCTTCATTTACTTGTAGGCCGATCTGCGCTGCCTCTCTCTTCATTTATATTAGCATATTATTATTATTTTCATTGGTGCCATTTGTTGAATTTTTGAATTGATATTTAAGAATAAAAATACTAAACGATTTTTAATACCAATATCGAACGTTATTTCATTTCTATAGTCTATTTATATGTGGGAAGTAAAGTGTGAGAACTACAATCGAGCTTGCGGAACTAATACAACCTTCACATAGAACTGGAGTGTCCAATAACTATAAGCAGCCTCTACAGCTTCCTATTCTCTGGACCTGAAACTGCAGAGATCACCTTTGTTAAAGCAATAGTGTAGCAAAAGAGGTCATGATATTCGTGTCATAGATAACATGGACGGTGTTAACAAAAAAAAAGAATAAAAAACCGAAAGGAAGATAAATTGGCGTGCGAAGTGATCTGAATGCGGTTTCCCATGTGCTATGTTCTTCCAGGTCACACACTGACCTTGTTTGCAGATTAGAAGATAGTATTTGTTGGAACTCATACGAAGTAGTAGTATCTATGTAAATATTCCTTTTTCTGGTTTTTATATTTTCCTTCCACTTTTCCAAAAGTAATAAAAGTATATAGTAAAATCCGAATTTAAAAAAATTTAATTTTCAAATCTGAAATGGATTTAGGTCTGGTATGGTTATGTTGATGGGGTAGTTTCTAATGTAGTGAATTGAGATTATATGTTTTTAATTATATTATATATAATTTAAATAAAAAATTTTGTATTTTCATGATGTTTTATTGTATTGTAAAAAGTGATTATATTTTATTTGGGGTATTATTATATTTATTGTAGAATTGTTGTATTTGTGTTTTTTTGTATTATTGTTTGTTTTAGTTCTTTTGTTTTAATGTATAATACTAATCGTAATTGTAAATTAGAATTTTAGTAAATTGTATTTAAATTGACTATTGGACGTGTATTTATTATGTAATAGTTGAAAGGAAGGAGTTGAGATTTGGGGATAATAGTTAAACATGATAATTGAATATAGATGAATTAATTAAATTAATTTAGCATTAGTTTTATTAAGTTGATAAGTATGGGGATATATTATTTTTAAGATAAATATTGAAAAAATGGTACAATTTGTTAAGTTTGGATTTTAATTATAAATTTCATTAATTATTGATATAGTATATTAAATGATGTATAATATGTGCAGTTAAGGGCGTAATAGGAGTTTAATGTGTTTAAAAGAAGTGGAGTAGGATTTGTTTTGTGGGAATGAGTGTTATGAGCATTTGTATTTTTTGTTATGTGTGTGTGAAATTGGGTGTTTATATAATGAGTGGTATGTGTTTATTTTTAATATGTTTAAGTGTATTGGTGGTATGTGATGACGATTATGGTTATAGGGGTTATTGTATTTTATATGGTTTTGTTTGTGTATGTGGTGGTTGTGATAAGGTAGGATTGTGGTAATATGTAATGTTGTTCAAGCATTCAGCTACATCGCAATGCTGGTCATGTGGTCCGACGATCAGGTAAATATTTTATTTTATTTATTTTTTCGGTAATTGTATATTGTTTATTTTCATACTCTGGTTAGAATAGGTTGAAGAGGTTAGTATCCCAATGGATCCAATGGAATTTCATCAAGGATTTTTTATTCTCATAATATCACTCGCCTCTTAAGCACTTGTCCCTTCGATCAATTTTTTTTTAAATTAAAATGTATTAAGGGCCCTTTATTATATGTCTTCTTTTATTGGAATAATAATAATAAAATCTGCTAATACAAGAACAGAGATTTGTTGGCTCTATGTGTACACTTCACATAAATTAAGTTTTGAAGCGGTGGTTTCAGGACAAATAGATCTATAATGGATCAAATGTTTGCTCTTACATAGTATCGAAAACGAAAGAGTATAATAATTGATTTTACTTATTATAACTAAACAAAATCATGGCCAATCTTTATCTTGAAAAAAAAAATATTTAGAGTTGAGAAGAAAAGTTAAAATTTTAATCCCCACATATCCCCATCCCCATCCCCTCATATATTATTATAGTAAGGCTCGAAAACGGTTTTGTACCAAATATAAGCTCCTGTCATGCTCAGATACCATGAATGGGATACCGTTGGATTCAGAATTTCATGGGGGGCTAGCGAATCGTATTCTCCACTTTTGTTTTTCTTTCTAAAATAAATAAAGTCGATACAAACATTTTGCTAGACTTCAATACAGGAACGGTGGTAGGTCTGTAGATCGATACGGGACAAATTGGATCTTGAAGATTTTGCGTACAGCAGGACTCGGAATCCTGCGTTTTTAAGCCCAAAAACGTACTATTTTCGAGATAACGCAAGGCATAGGGTTCGCATCCACACAGCCTTACATTAATTGTGGTACTGACATTGAATACATGTCTCATTTCGTCGACTTGAGGTCTCTATGATCGAGAGAGGAGGAGTTTATAATTATATATCGATGGTGTTTTTGATTGGCATCCCCTATCATCGTTCATTTTTCACCAAATCTCAAGATTGAGCCACCAATTTCGAAGGTTTCCGTCTTCTTCAGGCGGGCAAAATAGTCCAATCACCCCGAAAATTCAGGCAAACAAGTTATGAAAGAAAACGAACTTTATTTGCGAATAACTATAAAATTATAAACTTTTCCCTCATGGTTATGCCCATGATTATATTAAAGATTACTAAATTCACTACCAAAGGAAAAAAAAATCATCGAAATCAGACAATTTTTAGCAAAGATACAGCTTATTGAAATTAATAAACATGTTGGTTCCAAACATTAATGAAGATTTAAATTAATTTTTGTTTCCTTTGTCGATTTTATTTGTAGATAAAGTAACAATTGATTTCTTCATCTTTTGATACGTTGCATTATTTTATTTTCTTATTAATTTGGCATTTGATAACAATATGGTGTGCGAATTTTTCGCACGGGCCTACTAGTTTAACATTAATTTAATTTAAAGCATTTCTTGATTTTTTTTTTAAATATAAATTTTTACAATACAATCAGAATAGAAAATATTTGCGTTCTCTGAAAATTTTTCAATGATGAATAGACTTTAGATAAGAAGTAAACAACTCATTTTATAAATAAATTATTTATTTATTTTTATTTTTAGAAGCTATATCCGCTTAACTACAACTACTACCAGCCAGTCGTCGTTACCTCGATCTTGTTGGGTATCTGGGGCATGGTGATGCTGGTCCGCGTCTCCCAAGAAGGACTCAAGGAGTACTTCGTCCAGGGGAAGTTCATCGTCCTCCAGCTCGTCCTGCTCCTCACCAAGTTCCAAGGGCTGGCAGCCAGGACACTCGCTATGGGCAACCTCTTCCCCTGCAGGAGCCACATCACCCCTACTGTCTATACCAACTGTAAGTAATTTATTATGTACTTTAGTTCCTATGAGTAGCTTAATATATTTATAAGGAGTTCATTTAAAGATGTATAATCGAAGTCATTCGCGAACGAAGATTCGCCTGGTGTGGACGGAAAATGAAGGTGAACGGGCTAATTCGCGCGAATGCTCGTCCACACTAACCATATTTTTAGCGAATAAACGTCTAATTTAATTAATTTTAATGAGGTGTTTGCTATCGCATTCTGTGCGTCTTGATCTTCCGGCAGTAAACATTAATTATTAATTAAATTGATTTTTAAAAAATGAATATTTTTCATTGTATATTGTGACTGAAGTTGAAAGAGACTAATGTGTAGTATAAAATACATGAGACGATTGTGATATGACTCCCCTCCCTCTCTCTCTCTCTCTCTCTCTCTCTCTCTCTCTCTCTCTCTATCTCTCTCTCTCTCTCTCTCTCTCTCTCGATATATTTATACATATATATATTTCAATCATGAGAGCTCCATCAAGCAGAGCTCCATCACTAAGGTCAGACTAATTCTAGTTAAAAGAAAGCAAAGACAAAGTGATCTAATTGTATCAATAATGCTCAGTTGAGGAAATTAAGTACAATTCAAATTAGTGGAACTACTGAATTTTGTTTATTTTTTAACTTAAACTGTTATGATTAGATGCAGTGTTCGTTATCAGGAAGGTACGGTGCTAACCACTGACTGATAATTTACCTACTCTTGTTTTTTTTTAATATTTATTAAGTAATATAACATTCTGTGATATAGACAATAATTATTGTGAGATAAGAACACATTCACACCATATATACAGACAGGGGTGCCGAGGGTCTCTAATCCAGAAGATGTGAGAGTTGGTTATATTGTCTAGTCAATTCTTGTCTTTTTAATTTAGTATGTATGTTCCAGGTAAGTCTTTTAAGTAGAGTCCGAGATACCGTACATAGTTTTTTGAAGGAACTGGGTTATTATCAATCGTTATGGGTGGACATGAGGGTTTCCTAAGAGAATGCAATAGATAGATAATATTGCTATGGAGCTCAGTAATATCAGAGGTGTATACCGAATAGAGAATTGGACATAAGACGCTACCTTGTGGTATGCCAATGTATTGAGGGAAGGAAGAGGAGTCAGAAGAATCTACGGAAAAACCTGTTAAGAAAGAAAATAAGTGCGGTTTTAATTTCCATAATAGGTCCTTATGCCAGGCACTATCAAATAATTGCTCTATATCAAGGAAGACCGCAGAGCAGTACTCCTTTTTCTCAAAAGCAACAGAGATAGCGTCTACTATCCGATGGCACTGTTGCACAGTGGAGTGATAACGAAAGCCAAACTGGTGATTTGATATCAATTCACTACGTTCTAGGATAGGCTTTACACGGTTTAGAGTAGTGTAACCCAAAATCGGTCTTGGTCTTGCGCTTTGCAATACCAAGACCAGGACTAGTAAAATAAATCGATTTTTTGAATAAAAATTAAGGCAAAATAGTTACTAAATGTAAGTAATTGGTACAACCAATATACTTTTGTATTTAACTCTTCTGAATTTTCATTCGGGTTAAGTTAGGTCTCTCTTATCTAAAAAATTACAGTAATATCTCTATAGTAATAAGCTAATAAGTAACTGCAAGACTGTTGCGAGACTCTTAAGCAAAAGACCAAGACCATGACCAAGACTCGTCTCGGTCTCGCATTTGTGCAACACTAGTTTAAGAGTTTTTCAAATATTTTTCCCATTATCGGAAGAAGTGCTATTTGATGATGACCTATCCTATTTATACCATAGGATGAAGGAAGGAGTAGTGGTACGTTTTGAAGATTTAGGAATCATTTTAATTATGGAGAGTTTCCAAAGGAGAAGAAAATAGGTAGTGCGTAAGATGTAGTTATATATGTGTGTAAGAAAGAGAATAGGTTTTCGAGGTAGGATAAAGGCAGTGATAAGATCATAGCTGGGATTGTTATCACTTCACAACTTTTTGGGATAGGTTTTATACGGTTCAGGAGAAGTTTTTCAAATATTTTTCCCATTGTTTTGTTGCTTTTTTATTTGGAAGTCAGTTGATTTCTTTGTATATTTCTTTTGGATGAAATGCTGGTGGGTCTAGTGATAAGGGTAATGGTGTTGTCAATTCATCTCCTGTCTTAGTGTATAATATGTCTTGTATAGTGCAAGATATTTAGTGAATTTATTGGCCTTTTCTTCGCGTGTTATTGCCCAGGTGTTGTTTGTACGACGGGGAGGGTATTGAATGTCTTTTTTCTTCAGTACACGTCTTGTTATTGTCCACACTGATCTGATATTATTTTTTATGGAGTCTATGTAGTTCTTGTAGTTGTCGTTTTCAAAGGTTGATAATTCTTCGTGAAGTTTTCTAATTGTTTTTTTGAATATTCTGTTTTATGTGATGGATGTCTAGTTCTTTGCTATAGACCTCTAACCTACGTTTTTTTTTTTTTTTTTTTTTTTTAAGATTACGTATTGGCTGAGGTAGGTAAGAATCAGATTTAATGTATGTCCTTTTTGTTTGGTCTCGTCGAATGCCAAACAGACTCTTGTATATCTTTAGTTAAGTCGTTGACTGCATTGTCGAGGTCGTCAGCTCTACTAATGAAAGTGTTTAACGTAATTTTGTTGTTCAGAAAATGTTTGAAGTTGTCCCAGTTTATGTAGCCGTTAATTAACATAAATTATTCTGTATAAAACTTTTTTTAAATGCAAATTTATTTCTATGGGGTTGTTGGAGTAAATAATAAAAATTTACAACGTGGGAAGCATAAATTTTATACAGTATTAAAATTGTAATTATTTTTATAGCCAATAAAATGATTTATAAAAGAGCTGATTGGAATTAACAGTTTATTTTCTCCTTTTTCCTGTCATGTGCCTTTTAGTGAAATGTTTGCTCTTGTTGTGATGAAGCTGCCAATAAAACAAACACCTGTCTGGCTTCTACTGTATTGGTCAATAATCTCATTCCTTTAATAGCTCTTCATCAATATCACTCTATTAATGGATTCAATCAATTTAGAAAGTTCTGTGGCTAACCACAGGGTGATCGTCAGAGACCATTAACTCCATGTTGTCTCTTCTCAAGTGTGGTGTCTGGTGTATCTCAATAATTACTGTTTACGTTTCTAACACAGGCCCTTCCTCGTTTTTGCTTGCTTCGTCTTTCATTTAAATTACGTCTCATTTTTTATTATTAAGAAATAATACATTTTGTCTTACTTAAGGCATTGAGTATTTGAGCTGCGTGAGACTCATTATGCCTTTTAAAAATAACAAAAATAATAGAAACATTATAACAAAATAAAACATAATAAATGCAAATCAAATGAAACTTGAGACAACATTAAATAAAAATAAAACATAATAAAAGCAAAATAAATAAAGATTGAGACAACATTAAATAAAAATATATAAAACTAAATCAAAATATTAAAACACCTCTGAATCTGCAATACTTCTTTTATTCGATAAAAAAAAAAACGAAAAACCAAATATATGCATTGCGCGACTTGCAGAATGTTGCGGAATCAGATCAATGTTTTCAGACATTTTCATATTTTTTTTTTTCTATTTTCACTGCTTATAATAGTACTAAAATAAGATAGATAAAAAAATAAAATAAATAATGCTTTTGATTTGAATATATATGTATATATATATATATATATATATATATATATATTTTTTTTTTTTTTTTTAAAGCATTGTAGTTTATGTATGGACATTTCTGTCAGAGTCAGAGGTGAAAACCCCATATTTTTCTCTAGATATGGGGTTTTCACCCAAACGTTCCCTTAAAATAAATTGAATGGGGTTTATGTATTTAGTGAATAGTGAATGGTACATCGGTTTAATAAAAAATATATTTTTTATATTATATGATGTATTAATTTAGTAAAAAATAATGTTTTTACAAGACTTTATATTCTTTTAATAAAACACAGTCGGAAATAGTTTCTTCTAATTATATATATATATATTTTAATAATAATTATACATTTTTATATTAACGCTTTATATAAGTACAACTCGTTGTAAAAAAGAATATTATATTTTATACTAACACATTAAACATTAATAACTTCTAAAGTGTGACGAAATATTTTGGAATCACATTCGCAAAATACTTCACTGTTTTTCAAAATCCCTTTTATTAATAAAATTTAGAAATTGTTGAATTTATGAGAATTTATTAATATGAAAATTTTAAATTCGTAAATAAATTACTAAATAAGACGTTATATCAAGTGGCTATATTAAGCTTACTTCTCTTAGTTAAAATCCTAGTTCCGACCCTATATTAGGTACCAATCCTTCTCTATCCCTGCGTGCCATCTTGGGCGTATCCAGAAAAAGATAAGGTTGAGCAGCTTCTCTTTCAGGGTGTAAACAAATTAAAATACAACAGCAACAAATAAAAACGAATTTATGTAAATAAAATTAATTAAGAGTGACAGGTCAATACTTTGAAATTAATTAGTTATGGAATACGGACTTACTCTCCCAAAAATAATTTAATTGTCCTTCAATTTTATTTCTATTGTTAAATATCTAGCCATTTTTAATCTTATTCCCTTCACACAGTGATTTTTCCAAGAAGGTATATTTGATTCATATTATTTTTTATATTTAAATACGTGGTTTGTTTTTGTTTCTGTTCTCTAGATTTCGGTTGTGTTATATTTTGTTATGAAGATGTATGGAGAAGATTTAATCTTTATAAAATTTTAAATTTCAACATTCCTCACTTTAGTTTTTCTCAAACGCTACTATTCAGCCTGAACTCTATGAATTTTTTTTTTTTTAATCTATTTATTGAATAATAATACAATCAGCCACTGGAGGGCTATAAGTATTAGGGCTAAGAGTTCTCATTCAAACAATGTATACAAATAATAGAGAAATAAATATAAATATAAAAAGTAAATAAATAATACTGATGAAGAAAGAAAATAAAAGAAAAAAAAGTAATCAATAACATAA